CCGTTGTCTGTACCAAATAATGATTGCTATTTATTACCGATAAAAAGGAAAAGACGATTTCCATAATGGAAGCAACTCGAAAGAACGAAACTTGATCGCTGGAGCGGGAACTTTATTTGCCTGACCTTTCGGACTTACACTCATATTCACCATCAGAGACAGCAAAAGGCATTGAAAGTTGGCGTGTAGTTGCTCTGCTACCACATACCCATCACACTCGGGAGCTGTGACGCTCGTCGCTAATTGTCCTACTGGGCACGACGACTGCTTGAGAGCGTTGTACTCCCACCTGTTCGAGGATGTGGAACCTTCCTCCAAGAAGCTTTGACCTATGCGCAGATTCGGCTTTTGGATAGGTGTCAGAACAATTACGTGTTGCTGAAATGTGTTTCATACAAACCTTCGGTAAGCATGAAGCTCTCGAGCCGATCAGTATTTCAACGCGGCAGTCGAATGATCCGAGTGCTCCTTTGAAATTGTCTCTCAAGGTTTCACAGGCACAATCAGAAGACAGGCCAAGGAAAAGCACGTGCTGTGAGTTCATGGACGTGAGCGGCGCAAAGCTGATTTGACAGAGGAACCGTTAACGCAGAGTAGTACGCGATGCGGCAATGGAAATAAGTTCTGCGAGCTGTCAAGTCCGAAGTCATATGGAAATGATAACTTTGTGCACAAAGTTTTGTCAGGAGATTTGACGATTGAACAAGTGAAGCTGTCATGTCATGAGGCTAAATTCAGAAAACCACGCGTTAACGCAGGCACGCATAATCACTGCGGTTTTGTTGGCAACGAAAAATTCAGGTGCAATATAATCGATCGTATGATGCAGGTCGATACTCGAAGAAACGGCCTTGGTCAGATCTTCTGGCCTTCCCAAGGTGTGAGCAGAGAGCGCTCTTCTCCGACCCACTCAAATCTGCTCCGAATTGTGGACTGGCAAAGCCAGCTTTAATTAGCTCCCCAGAAACCATCGGTCGAGAGCATGGGACCGTACCCGCAAATCGACAATCTCTTCAGACTAGTTCATGTCCTCCAGCTCCTTGGGTTTTATCTCAAAACGTACTTCAAGTTCGAACAAGCAATCTGAGAACAGGTAAAAGACAAGCTAATGGGTTTACTGATTTCCGGAATCGTAGCCCAGTCATTCCTGTAATGCGTGAAGTCGCTGATCATCCGACAGCACAGACTGAAATTCTGGGACCGGTATGTGGATGATACCTTCGTTATCATTGTTAAACGGGGTCAAGGGCTGACATCCAGTGGACATCTCATTGCCGTCTCCCCGACATTTAATTTAAGGTAGAGAAGAAAGTTGCCAACCGGTATTTTTTGATGTAGTTCCCTGTTGCGAGAATTGTGGCGACCCTAATGTCAAAGTATTCAGCAAAACTACACGTACGACGGAAGTACCAACTTTCAACATCGACCACCCCGAACAGCACAAATGCGTTTACGCAAGGACGTTATATCGGCTTGTCGGGACTCGCTACAGAGAGCTGAAAAACAAAGATGTCGAGGTGCAATACCTTCAGCGGGGGCTCAGAGCGAACGGCCAGCTCGCATAACTTTGTGAATTCTTGCAGGTGCAAACGAGACGAGGGACCACACCGTACAAGCCCCGAATCTCGGCAGTCCTTTGCATACGTCATAAACGGCTTGAAAGTCCTCAGGTGCCTCCTTACACCGCTTGGAGTTGAGATTGCACAGAGACCGGACGCAACTCTCAGGCGTCGAGTAATGAGGCCAAAAAGTCTATTTCCAAGGTAGGAAACGTCTGGAGTCGTTTAACCTGGCCCGATGCAAATGCGAACAAAGCAACTATATCGGAAAAATTGGGAGATTAATCCGCACGCGTGCGGTTAGCCATGCAACCAGCGAGACGGAAGGTCATGCGAGAGGTCGCAGTCGCGTGTGCCAAGGGCTACTTGGAGAGTTCCCAAGTCCGCCATTATTCAAGCCTTTTTATCCCGCAGCATGCATTGAAGTACATTTTTCACCATGATGCGCTTGTCGGGATTTCGATTCCCCTCCATCAAGTAGTCCCTCAGCTTTGAGACAGTAACTAGCACGGCTCTGCACAAACCAGCTATCCAGTTCATGTAGGGGTCCGGTATTCTAGGCTGGCATATGTATTATTAGGACTAAGTTCGTAGCATAGCCAACCTGACACTATGTCGTTTATTGTTTCGCCATTATAACGTCGAAAATTTGTCCAGTCACTTAACAGATTCCAGACGTTTGACCCCGTGTGGATCGATAAACTGCAGTTCGCTGTATTTATTTTCTAATCGCTTCCTCTAGGCACTCGAAACTGATTTTAGACGGGTCATGTTGGTGACGGGCTAGCTTCCTAAACTGTGCCTACCGCTACCGCAACACGAATCAACGGTGGTCTATGCAAAGCAACACGCTAAACTTCTCCACTGTGCAGTTCCATCGAAAAAGACACATCTAAATACTGTTCTAAGGCAAGGCGCCGGTTGAAGTGAAGGGTGCAGAAACGTGCACTTTAGCCCATGTCTCAAAGGTAATGAGACGCGCCATACAAAACAAGGCGGGTATAGAGATGTAAGGGATCAGGTTTTAAGAATTAGGTAAGACTGGCATTTTGATACTGAAAACGAGGTATGCGGCGACAGGATGCTAGGACAATAAACCGTGATGAGCCGTGCAGTAATTCGTTCGCCCGGCTACCCTCTCATCGTCCCTAAGTTAATTTCCCAGGTTGTGATATAATGCAAGCCACTTTCTATTTGGGTTTGGTCTCTTTCGAACGGTGGGATGACGTCTATCGCCTCTTTGTGCACTGGCCCGGTCTTAGCTACGTCCAAGATCCAATGTGAAAGAAAATTAACATAAGAAAATAACCAGGAGTCGAGGTAAATAATAGACTCATACAACCAGAAAATAGGACTGCGGAGGGGTCTTCCGTCTCTGAGTTATCACAGCTACGTCTCTCGGCTGAGACCGTTTAGTGACATTCGCCTCTTCCTGACCCATAAGACGAACCTAATTGCAGTCCGAGCAACATTTCTGCTGAGATCACCAGATGAGCTCTTTATATACATAAACATTATTATTGGAGAGAGCAACAATGTAAGTCCAACCAGCGAAAGAAACTATACCAAGAACCTACAATTTTGGTAAGGAAGAGCGTAATGGATGTGGCTGTTAGGTAGGTGCGGAATTGACACGCCCCGAATTTATTTATGTTTATGGTGCGTTGTCTAATACTGCCCTTTTGAATAATTGTGAGCTCAGTCAAGCTTATCTACAGCCTGAGCACTTGGTTTCCAGAAAGTAGTCCGTCTATTTTCAATGCTTTCTTCCCATGCAACTTGTAGGTATCGGTAACGTCTCAGACTACTCAACCAAAACCCCAACAGCGACTACACTTATGCTGCCCACTGCCCTTCCCTCAAGACGCAGGTCGTGCAGTGGTCATCCCACATGGCTGGGTGCTGTGCGCAGTGCCATGTTGAAGTTCATGGATGCTTCCCGTGTTCGGCAGGACTGCGAGGAGCCCACCAGTTACGTCGCAGTCGACTCCCGTATTGGC